AAAGTGATAAGTAATAATTTTGTTGTGGTTCTTGTAATTTTCTGCTATATGAAAATATATATGAAGTACTTGTTTCTTTTGGCACCAATGATGTAAACAAATTACCTCTAGTCTTTGTAAGAAGCTTTTCATTGATTTTCATATAATAATCCTGACACTTATTTGCAAAATTTGCTCTATTTCAATATCTCACCGATTTAAAAACATTTCGCAGCTGTTCTTAAAAATTTTTTAGTGGGAAAACTTGACACACACTGCGTTTAAAAAACAAATACTTGTCAAACATCAGTGTAGGCTTTTTTTCTATCCTTTTTCTCATAACTTTCTGTTCACCATTATTTTCAAACAGATTTGGTTCAACAAATTCTTTCGTTTCTTTGTAAGAGCTAAAATGGTGTCTATTTGTCAAAACTGCTTCTTAGGGTTCAATTTTAACTCGTTGTAGGTATATATCTTTCATAGAGAAAAAAGTATCTTGTCTAAAAATACAAAAAATGCACACAATATGTTTATATATAACACTTAAACATGACTTTAATCATTCTTATCATATAATAAAAAGAGCCCTAAATTATGATTTATGATTCTCATAATCATTTCGATGATAGTGTTGAAAAAATGGTAAAATGTTTACATAAATAAACACATATAGAAAATATTGAAAATGGAGAGATCACCAGTGACATAGGCAGTGCAACAATATACCATTTAGAATAACAAAGTTTTTATTTCGATCATTGATTATTCTTGAATACAGAGCAAAATAATCTTTATCACTCAGAATACCTCATGATATAAGCGTTGAATGCAATAAAATTCCATCTCATATTATATACAAATGTTAGTGCCAAAGAAAATGTCTTTTTTAAAAAACGAAGAAGAATGTCGTTTTTGAAAAAAGTCAGATCTTGGTGATAACTTTAATAATCGAGGAAATCAACAGCAAACTCACACAATCAACAGGCGAAGAAAAGAAAAAAGTTCAAATTCAATTTCGGAGTAAATTTTTATGCTTTTAAAAATTGGAAAAAAACTAAAAAAAAGATGAATATCTTCAGCAGTTTTTTTCTAAAGAAAGACTGAATTTCCTTCTATCTAAATATATTCACTCCAACACAAAGCCTTATGATATAAAAACACCTCATAATATAAAAATACATTTAGTGAAGCCATGATACAGTCTATTCTATTTATCTTATCTTATTTATGTACGTGACAGAAATTTTATTTTCTATCAAACACAGAAAGAGAAAAAACAAACGCATTACTCTAAAAATGGAAGTGTATGTCTTACTCTGAAAATAAAAGTAAATATCTTACTTTTTCAAAGAAAGTAAATTCATAACTACGAAACTGAGAGTAAGCCTTTTACTCTCAGAATGGAAATAAATACCTTACTTTAACATTGAGAGTAAACGTCTTACTCGGAAACTGGGAATAAGTGCTTTACTTTAAAACTGAGAGTAAGCCTTTATACTCTAAAAATGAGATAATCTATGATCTATAAAATGATCATAGATAAATCTGCTAAGAAAATGTGATTTCTAACACAGCTGAATAAGTGAAAACGACGAACAATTTATCAAACATCTGTCACTCTTTCTTTATTTGGAAATGTTCATTTTTGCACAAATTTTTTCAGAAGCGACATTTTTCCATTTCTTTTCACCTATTTTCTTAGCATCCGAATCCAAAACAGGATTTCATTTATAAGTCTTAAACATCTTCGTTCCGCACTTGTACACTAATGGCTTTCAGATGAGTGGAAGAGACTCGCCTTTTCGCCTTTCTTACTGTTAAGTCGTTTTTGATAATAAACGCTTATATTTCGCTTTTTCAGGTCCATATATTCTTGAAATGATCCACTTTTCCAATACGAATATTTTTTTGGCCATTGCCGAGCTTTTGCGATATTTGGCCCTTCACCATAGCCGTAGTTGTCGGCTATCTCTAGTGACCATCTGGGTCCATAATCAGCGAAAACGTGATCAAAAGGGTTGCACGGCACATTTAGTCTGTAATCGAGATAGTCTGTTGAGCATAGCTGAGATATCTTAGGGTAGATGAAATCGAGTGTCGTGTTCGGATAATGAAGAATGATGGTGAGATTATCTCTGTAAATATTGTCGTACATGAAAAACAAATCAACACTCAGTGTCCTCGTGTAAAATCGATATTCAAGACCGTATTCAGGTAGACCAAACAAATAATCCAAATAGAAGTTAGAGATGTTCAACATGCCTATTTGTTCTGTCAGTTGATCTGAGGCAAATTGAGCAAATGTGCCAAAATCGATATCGGTTGTGTACGGAATAATCGAACATTGTCTATACCAGCCCAACAAAGTACCAGAACTCATCCAGAATGGAATGTGAAATTGTTTCATAACCCATTTCATTTGTACAATTATCTCTTGATAATCAAGAATTTTTGAAAGATTCTTCTTATGCGAATAGTTTTTGGCGGCGGAACGATTACAGCTGATAAAACGTGACGAATTGATGCCGATGAGAAAATGTAACAAATCGTTTTTCCTGTGAGGAATCGATATTTTCACACCGTGAAATTCAAAAGATGATACATTGAATAGATCAAATAAAGCATCATACTGTCCGAACTGGGCATGAGCAAGCTGGAACTGTGAGGGCTGTATCTGATAAAGTTTATAATATTGTTTTCTATGGGACTGATAGAAAACGACGAGCTGAATTGTCCCAAATTCACAATAATAAAACAGATGTGTTGCTCGATTTTGTTTCGGATTATAAACGATTTGAACAGTAAAGGTATATTTTCTAGTTGTCCAGTCAATTTTTGACTAAATCAAAACACTTATTGCCTTTAAACTGAACCTTTCAATCTGGTAGTAGTAGGTGATAAGCTTTCTAATCATAAACACAGTGTTTCATGCTTCTTTAGGGACCCAAAATCCATTGTTTTTCCTATTGATTATAAATATGTTTTTTTATTCCGTTGTGAAACAATGTTTCGATGATAAAAACGTCGGTCTATCCTAAAATGCTGCTCAACTTCGATACTTTTCCTTATAGAACATATAGCTCGTTCTTGGATGCTCATCCTGTCAATAGTTATTCTTCATTATAATATAGCTCTGGAGCTTAATCGCCAGGGCTGATTTTCGCTGTGTTACGGAGGAAGCGAACTCACATCGAGAATGCAAATTGTTTATAACTGCTAGAGCTTACCTTGATCAGACGATTAAGGTTATTTTTATCAATTGCAAACACTACAGTTGAGTTTGTTCGATGATAGTTAATTTTGTGTTTATCAAGTATTGACATTTCGGTGTCATTCAACAGATGGACGAGTATATGCGGCGAAATTAACCAGACATTGATATTATTTTGATTTAAAACAGATAAAAATGTGTTTAAATAACTGTTTACCTCTAAAGATGGTTTTAATCTGACTGAATTATGTAAGTTTGTTGTAAACAGAATTACTAAGAAACAAATGAGGAAAATACATAAGATAAGTGATCTTTTTAGGTTGAAATACATCCTTGTTATAAGCTTTGTTTGATAAGTATGATATGGTGTACAAAAAAAAAAAATGAAACAGAATAGAACAAGAAGCAAGAGGCAAATCCATTATACCTTTTTGTTTTGTCGATGCTACATTGTACAGAAAGAAAGAAAAACGAAAAGAGGGAAAAGATGCATCTGAAAGCGAAGAAACGAACTATTAAGATAAGCAGGTGCATGAGAGAGTGATGGTAGGTCCCAGAAAATAGATTTGAGATAAGTAGTACTCAGAAACATCTGATACTTTTGATATTCTACGATTATCTTATGTAGCTGGGTGATTGTAAAGTTATCGATTCTTCTGATTGTAAAATGTGTTTAAGTGTGAAGGATAACCCAAGTGCTATGTTATGCCAGTCATTCTTGAACTTAGATCGCAAATGGCGATAGGGTGAACATTCCAAGAGAAAGTGTTTGACTGTTTCTACTTTGTCGCATGCGCAATATCGTTTATTTACTAAGTGCCTACTATTCAAATCAAAATTCAATCGAGAGAATTCAACACGCATTTGATTAAAAAGCATTCCGTACTTTCGGTCAACGTGTTTGAATCGTGGCCATTTGTAATATGGATGCAGAAAATTATGTATCTTTGGGCGCAAGCGAGCCAGTTTAACAGTTTGATACAATTCAACAGGTAACTTAATCCACTGCCTAACAGTCCAAGGAAAGAATGTGTTTTTGAATTTTTCTGTCCGAGCAAGAAAGAGATAAAGTTGATCTTTAACCCGAGACCTCAATGACATAGCAACGTTTGAATAATTTGGTATTCTTTGAGAAAGTAAAGATGGTGTGGGCCCTCTTTTTATTTTTAATAATAACAAACTTTTATTCATGGCATATAAAGCTTCGATAGGAGTCCATCCACGATTCTCAATACCTTTTCTCTTGAACTCAGATGCATGGCACCGCTAACCCTTAAAGCAACTTTATACTGTATGTCATATATAGGTTTGAGATAGAGTGGTACGTACTGAATAATGTTTGTTTGTCTATGCAAATCTTTCAAGCAAGCATAACCTATGTCCGAATAAGTTTACTGGCATAGCATAAGATTTAAAAATTTGATCGGAAATGGATATACTCAAAATATTTTTGTTTCTTCGCATTAGGTAGAGAATGCAGTTACACTTTTTACATATTTCTTTAACATGTAGTGACTAGTCAGGAAGTTTTGTTAGATACAGTTTGTGATTATCAATAAACTTTAAAGTAAAAGCATCAAGAAGCAACTGTGACATAATTTTTTCTTTGCAAAATAGCATAGCTACGTCTCGGATTTAAAGGTAACTGGTAAAAGTCAGACCACCGCTGCAGTCTCATCAGATCGGCATTGATTATGTTTGAGACAGAAATCATGTCATTGGTGTGATGATAAAATGAAGTATCATCTACAAATAATCTTATTTGTAGATGATATTTAAACTATGTCATCTACAAATAGAAGGCTCTAGAATGGATCCTTGGGGAACTCCCATATTTATTCTCAAAGCTGTAGATCTTTGTCCTTTCACAAGAGTTAAACACTGTCTATTCGTCACGTAGCTTGAAAACGACAACTAAATTTTACTGTGCTTAGTTGAAAGAGTAACATTCGATCATATCAATGTGTCGCATCGAAAGAAAAGAGATTAATCGAATATAATTTTAACAAACAGCTTATTAAATTTTACGTTTTTTCCTACTTTAATTTCAAACATCAGTTGCCTACATAATTTGTCAATTGATTATAATTAAAATCAAGTTTTGCTTCAAGAAAAAGACTAATCTCGTTGCGAATGTAGTGGATGTTCCTGTTGAACTCCTGGATGTGTGAAAAAGACAGATGAGCTATTTTTATTTGCTGCTCTTCTAATACAAGGAAGACTTACGCTGATGTCAACGAGATGAAAGTGCTCGTAGACCATGTCAAATTTTTTCTGATGATTTCTGCAGAAATATGCGTTTTTTGGCCCTTCTCTGGTCACTAACGCAACACCAGAAAATGCATGGTTCTCATACGTGGTTTCTTGCGCTGTATTTTTACTAAGAAAACGATAGCATTTTGTCTTTTACCGAAGAATCTTTTTTGGGGGTTATACTGCATGTGTTCTTTCAATAAAATTTTGCAAAAACATTTTGATTTAACAATACGGAAAAAACGATGACTCATCGATGAGTGATCGTTACTAGTGTTCATCACTGGTAACCGTAATGGAACTGATAAACACTAATAATACAATGGCATCATTCTGTGTGAATCGAAGCCATGTTCGATCATATCAATATTGGCTGAAGACAAACAACCAGCGTGTTGAATTTTGATAAGAGTTATGCAAGCAATATGGTTAGTGGTGAATTTTTGTCTTTGTAAAAAAGGTCATAAAAACTTTGATTTTTATATAAAGCTCTTTCTTTATTAAAATAATAATTTCGACGTTAAATACGTCTTCACCAGACATTGGAAAATACAAACCAATTGCTACGTGGACATTTTGCTAGATATTGCTCGCAATATTTAAACTAGTGATGGAGTCACGTAATGGTGGTAGTGGCTCCAACAATCATAATATAAAACCATCACTTTTAACATTTATTACAGTTCCAATGAATGGAAAAATGATCAAAACACTGGTGGATACCGGAGCAATCAATTCAATTATTAATCAATCCACCTTATCAAAGCTTCATCATGCATCAATCACAAGAAAAACTTACTATTATCAACTGATTCTTTGTTTAAGGTGAAAAATTTTATAGCATAAATCAAGATTAAAATCACCTTTTTACATGTTGAAATGACCATTTCAAATTGAGACGTTTCGCCTTTATTCTAAAGACATCATCAGTCAACTGATGTACAATAATAATAAGAACACGATCAATGAGAATAGAGTAGTGTATAAGTATGACTGTTGTGGCTGTTTTAATACCTATATTGGGCAGACGGCGAGAGAAGAGAAGAAAAGAAAAGAAGAACATCAGCAAGCATTTTATGGGCAAGGTTTCTCAAGGGTTGCCATTCATGGGTTGGCAAGTGGACATAGAACTAATTGGAATTCAGGAATACTCGCTATAGAATCTCATAAATTAAAGAGAGAGATGAAAGAGAGTCTACTCATGGACATTCATACGAAAGAGGGAATAAGAACTATATATTCCCAAAAGACTTTTATGCTGAATGTTTTTTGAGATGAATAATTTTACATATGATCTAGAAGGAGAGTGAAAAATAAAAGGAAAATATTTTATAGTCTACACGTGTTTTATTGTCTGTTTCTATGTTAGAAGTAATTTTTTGTACATCAGTTGACTGATGATGTCTTTAGAATAAAGACGAAACGTCTCAATTTGAAATGGTCATTTCAACATGTAAAAAGGTGATTTACTATTATCAATTAGTCAATAAGACTAATATGTATTTTGTTGGCGAAGTACAACTGAAGGTTAGAATTAAATATATAACCATCTGGGTTACTGCATTGGTGGCGGATTCATTATGTATCGATTTTATTTTGGGTAAAGACTAGATACGACAATACCAAGATGATGTATTAGAAAGCAGTCAGGCGATTAGAATTAGAATTAACTCCAGTATCAATACCATTTGATGAAAATACAGAAAATGTTGCTTATGGTATTAAACTTCTTCATCCAATTACATTAGGTCCCCGACGAGAATATGAGGTTGAAGCACAAGTTCCCATTCCAACAGCTGACACAGTTATATTTCACCCAAAACAACAACTTCAACATAATCCGGCAATTTTGGTGCCACATGCATTACTAAAAATTACAAATTATACGACAAAATTGACGGTAATCAATCTAAATGACCAGCCAAGACACATTCCACAAAATATCAGATTAGGTGTTATTACCTATGCTCCATCTAGTGTGCAATGTTTTGCATCAACTACATCATCACCATCAAAGCGACACTCATGCTTGGATATTCAACACCATGATGGCAAAACCCATCAATCACCAATATCAAATGATATTGATAATACCATACATAAACTGATCAGCCATTTAGATGAACAAAAATAACAAGAAGTATACCCTAGTAGCATTCCTGCTTCATTTTGCGGCAAGAATACAGCCTCATCTTGGCGCGATTTTGACAAGAAATTTGAAACTGAACGCGGGATCAATACCACGATCGTACCTAATATTGCTATTTTTCCCGTGTAACGAAAATTTAACAATCTTGACGCGAAAATTTTCGATGGGATCGCGCTGAAATCCTGCAAAGATTGCGGCAGGATTAAAACGGGATCCGGACAAGATCGTGCCAAGAGCCCGGTGTGATTAAAACAAGGTTGCAGGAAGGCTGAACGAGCTTTCCTGCCCCTTATCTGTTTGTCACTACGTTCTTTCGATGGTTTAATCTCTTTTTCACCAAATTTCATCATGTTTTACTCGGCATTTTCTTCGAGAACATGAAGTAATTAGAGATTTTCTCCTAGAATACTTTCAGAGTACACAGCAATTTATTTTTTTTGTTTGAAGTTATAAACTCCATTTCATTCCAATGGCACAAAGTTGAACTATTATTAATTTGCTCATCTAAAGTGGGGATATTGTTTTTGCCGGTGAGAAGTTTCATCTCAGATGTATCTTTAGCTTCTTCATCAGTGTATTTTTCAGTTCTAATTCGAAACGTTACTGGCATTGAATTTCAGAATAGGAGTGAGAGGAGCTGTCTTTGTGTTTCATCTGTGAGTTGTGCCAATAAGGTAACGTTTGCCGTATGTGAAGAAAACATTCACGCTTGAACTTTCAATGAATATGTATCTGTAGATACCTGACACTCGGACCAGTTCGTTGCTAGAGCCAATCTAGCGTCCTGTGAGTGAGGTGTTCTGGCTGTGCCGCTATCCTCTGTGCATCAAACAGGATCGAAATGATCGTTGCTACATTCTGAAAGACTCAAACGGCAAAGCGATCTTACACCGAGAGAACTCACATGATAACTCAACCTTTGTGTCCATTACTCTCACTGTTGTGCATTTTCATTCTGAGATCTCTGCACAGTCAACATATTTAACTGAACCTACACATGGGAGAAGACTTTAGATGTGGTGCATTGTGAGAGAAAGAATATTTTCTTTCGATTCTAAAACTGTCAAGAAGAAAATAGTTCAAACTTTGGGACAAAAAAATTAATTTTCCTCTTCGAATGCTCTCTTCTCTCGAAAACTACTGTGTACTTACTAATGACAACAGTCAAATAGTCACAGTCTATTTCCATTAACTAACACAGTCGATGATAATATACGCACACTGTCTGTCTGTTTTTCTCCTTCTATCAACGGATGGACGAAATAAAAGAACATTACATCGTTACAGACTGAGATAGTGGAGAATACGAAGTCAGTGTGATCCTAGTTTCGTGCAAGGATTGATATTGTGCTTTGATAGTTTAAGAAACAGAATGATATAATAATAAAAAGTTTTCCTCAATGGTGGACAAAGGAAAAATCTTCTCAAGATCTTTTCTCGAAGTAGACATGATCTTGCTATAATCCTGCCGCGTTCCGTCACTCTCTTGAAACACAAATCAAACGGGATCGCATAACGAACTTGATCAAGAACGCAATTACAATTATAGGTTCGCGATTTTATTTTGCCGAGAAAAGCATTTTTTCGTTACATGGGAAAAAATCGGGTTCGCGATCAGATCTCAGCAAGAATGTAATGGGAATACCACTAGGGTATCCAATGTTATTAAAACATCGAACATTATTTAATGTATCAAAAATGACAATAGCAAATACACAATTCGACATGTAATTCGCACAGGTAATCATAATCCTATCAGTTCCAGGCCATATTCAAGAACTATTTAATAACAACAAATATTAGCAGAGCACATTCAACAGATGGAAAAGAATTACCGCATTAACGTTCAACTTCACCATGGGCGTCTCCAGTTGTCTTGATCAAGAAGAAATCAGATCAACCAGATTTTGTGTAGATTACAGGAAACCTAACAACATCACCAAAAAAGATTCCTATCCATTACCACATATGGGAGAAACAATTAATCGCTTAGGTGGTCACCTATTTTTCACTAAATTAGGTCCTAAATCTGGCTGTTTCCAAATACCCATTCAAGAAGATGATAAAGAAAAAACAGCATTTATTCTTCAAGGTGGTCACTGGGAATTCAATGTGTTACCACAAGGTCTCAAAAATACGCCTCCCACATTTCAACGAACTATAAATGAATTATTAGTGGATTATTATATGGAGTGAATAGTCCGATGGCAAACCATTAGAGAATTAGGTGCTTTTGCCGCGCCGAACCAAATTTGATGAAAATAAGATGATTAAGAAAAAAAGCGCCATTGAGACAACCAAAACTTAGGCAAAAATCACGTAGATTGTGTCGACGTAAGAGAAGAAGTTAGAAAAGAATTACAAGGAACCCGCTGTCTGATTTATCGGGAAAGTCTGCATATACCAACTTATTTTCATCAAATTTTCTTCAGTGTGGCAAAAGCACCTAATTCACTAATGCCTCTGTATACTCTAATAAAAAGTGAGTATTCAAAATTATATAAAGGGTGGCTCAGAAGTCCTGTCCCATTCGGTATTTTCGCAATATCTCGATCAAGGTTGATCGACAAGTCTCAATCTTTGCTTTTAAACGAAGCCTCATTCAATTCTCTACACAAAACATATTGAACATTTCTCTATATAAAATAAGAATAAAAAAATATAGAGGAAATACAGGAAAGTTTCAATATCGTTTACTTTCAAACCGAAAAAACAGATTTTGCAGTTTCAGTTCCATATATTTTATATATATGAAAAAAGAGAAAATGGTCATTTTGTAGTTCTCGACAAGCTTTATCAACTGGTTATATTTAAGATCTTCATCGGCTCAAGCGATCGCAGGAGGATTTTTTTCTTTTAGCGATTTTGTCCAAAATCATTACTTTCTAACCGCAGTTGGCACTTAGGAAAACTTGTGTAATTTGGTCCAAATCACATATTATGACCTTAGATCTGGTTAATGTTGAAGCAAAATGGTTGTTTTGTTACATCAGAACAGAGAAAGTCGAATAGCCCTGTTTCGTTTCCTGTACCAGGGCGAAGAAATCAAATTTTCCCTTTTTTTTACTTTTAGTAAAATCGTTGTTTGTGGCAGGAAAAAAGGTTTGTAGCGGGCTTATGATACACGAAAAGAAAGCTGATATTCTGAAGCACCAGAAAATACATTTCGATTCCACTTTGATGCATAGCACCGTGTTCAAAACAAATATTTTTTGGTTGCGCTTTAGATTTGAAAGTAACCGATATTGAAACTTTCCCGTATTTCCTCTATATATTTTTATTCTTATAGTATATAAAGAAATGTTCGATATGTTTTGTGTAGAGAACTGAATGAGACTTTTGAGGCGTCTTTTAAAAAAGAGATTGAGACTTGCGACCAAATATCACCGAAATTAGTTTTGAAATATGGATATTTTTACCAGTAATCATAAAAATAGTAGAATTGAACTAGCTTCTATAAACCGTAAAAACTATCTCGCCGCCATGCTTGGCATGTTTCATATAACGAACGAAAATATGAGTTTTACAAGTTATATTTATCTCACGTGTGCTTACGAGGATACATTCCCAAGTGAGGCGCTCCGATTTTGTTCAAACCTGGCAATTTATGTTTAATCAAGGGCGCTGATTACGAATATGATAGCCGTTTGTGCAAATAGGCCTTTCCTAACGTTTCTCTGAACTGGTTTTCTAGAAATCCCATGAAAGCCTTGCAATGCTTTATCAACGTGTTGGAATTGTAGCCTGCAAATTTTGCATAAAAATGAGATCCTTCCCAGCTCTCTACGACTTCCTTGACTACATATAAATTGCCAGGTTTGAACCAAATCGTAGTGCCTCACTTGGAAATGTTCTCTTGTTAGAAACAAAGTGACTTTTTCTCGTGATCTTTGATCGACGAAAACAATAATGTGCACTATTTTCCAATTTTGAGCAAATCGCAGTTTGGACCTTTATTATAGCTACGGTTCTAAATTTAACAGGTGATAATCTGTGTTTATCACTATTTTTATTCAATTTTGTTTAGATTTTAAACAATAGTTAGTTAATACTGCTGTGATTCTGTAGAGTCTGCCATATTGCGCGAAAATAGCACACAAATACTATTAGGAACATTACTTGTGCTGCTGATACTTGAAGGATACTACCACTACTAGCACGATGATCATAAAAGATTTCATTCGAACCTGCATATAACTGGTTATTATACATGTCATACATTTTTTTAAAATTAGAGTCAAATACTGCCGCATGAACATAACCAGTTGATCTGGAAATGTACACGGATGTTTGATAGCCAAGTGTTGTGCTAATATCGTATCGTTGAATTACCGGACCACCAAAACCAGCGTTGTCTATACTACAGGGTAATGTTATTCCTTTGAAGCCAGGATAATGAGTAGATTTCTGCGATGTTCCTGAGCAGTATCTCAATGTTTCACCACTATTTATATCTGATGAATAACCGAATAAGTAGACAGGTGCTTGAAGTTGTGCATCAATAAGATATCCTTGACCACCTACAACATCTTGAATATGTCGATTAGACAGTGTAGATAACAATATGAGCCCGATATTGGCATTTCGGTCTGCTTTTTCAATCCACATATTGAATGTGATTAGAGAACGTGCGGACCATCGTCCAAATGGCGCGGAACCACTACGATATCCTGGAATGAATATCACATTTCTTGCCCATCCACCTCTTTCATGATCATACACGCATTGTCCGCGAGTTACTAATAAGTCTTTGGTACCAGACACAAGTACACTTGCTGTGCAAACATAATTGTTACCACTTAATTGAATATAAAGCTTTCCTACGGTGTTTGGAGCGACTATTGTATCTTTCAACAACTGATCCGGACTTTGTATCGGTAAAACGCTTTTCACAAACGACGGTGGCTCATCAGATGTGAGTTGATTCGATTGTGAAAGATCTGAATTATTTTGAAAAAGTGGTAGTAAGGCAGATTTAGCATTAGCAATCCTCTCAGGTGTCCAATAGTCGATAGCTGACTTAAAACGTCTTTCATTATCGGTCATCAGCAAATCATCTTCATCACACACAACCAGAGCTAAGTAACTGAAAAAAATTGTAAGAAAGAAAACGATATTCATCTTCATCTAAAAAAGTTTTAAGAAACCGAACATTACTTCGCTTGTGAGACCTCTGTTATGTACCCATCTGTTTACCTTATGTTAGATCTAAACAAAAGTTGTGCAAATGCACAAGGTAAATACTTAAGGTAATACAAAAGACGTAAGGCATCATATAATAACTAAAAAAGCTTGTGTTATTTCGTTCTTTCGCACTACTCCGACCTGAAAACTACTTGCTACTGTTATCAAACAGTGCATGTGTCATCAAGATAATATCTAAGTAACAATAATAATTAATATTCCAATGTCACGAATAATAACAATTGCATTTACTTAAACTGCTAATGACTCATTCTTTATCTTCGTTCCACAAAGTTCGAAAAAAGCGCAAAAACTGGCGTATAACTTATACGGCTTTCAAACAACGTAACTTGAAAGGCTTTCAGCAACGTAAAAAAATGACGGCTTAAATCAAAAATTGGGCTCTGTTACGTTGTTCCCATATGTCTTAGCTTCAATTTAAACTCAAACCGAGCTCTCCAGCGCTTAATTTGAAAAAGAAATCTTTCCGGCAGTGTTTATCACGTAGGAAAAGTCGCTTTTGAGTAGAGGCGGCGCCACAGGTGGACTGGGGTGAGCTCAGCGCACCCTAACATATTTTGAACCATCCAGAAAAAAATTTTCCGGACTACATTACCAAATTCAGTGATGCCGAACCAGCCCTGGTCAAAATTCAGGGGCCTGAGCCCACCCTAGTCTAAATTCCTGGCGCCTCCGCTACTTTAAAGATATAGCGGCGCTAGTGTACGCCACACGTTTTAGGGCTCTTAATAAAACTCATAACTTTTGATCAAAGCCTTGCTCAGTGCTGGAAGACGTCTCATTTTAACCATAAATGTTTACTCTATGAGCTGGAGTCATTAGAAGCCTTTCTGGTTCGACATTTCAATGAAACATCAAAATTTTCAGAAAAATCAGATTTCTAGTGCGTTTAGATGATTTGTTGAAAATCCTCCAGAAACCTTTGATATTGGCACAAATAATATGGATTCTAAAAGGAGACACCTTGGGCTCTTCAGTGATGCGATCAACTCGATGTGGACCTTTTATGGAAAAATATATATTTCCTACCGTTATTAATAAATTAGTAAATTAATTATTATTTTCGAAGGAAAATTTTAAGTTTCAGTTTAAGTTAAAGAAACAGAGTCATTGTTTCACTTTTGTGTAACTAAAGTTTATAAACTCTCAGCACATGGATGAGGGTGTACATTGTAACAGTTGTTTTTAAAAAGGTACGAAAAAATACCCCTTTCGTTCTTTGGTTATGCATACATAGACGTTTGTTTCAACTAAAAGTCCGCAGATACAGCGAACTTTGAACCTAACCCTTTACCACTGATTGCTGACTGCACAAAACAAACAACATTTGCTCAAATGCGGTGAGTGTAGAGAGTACCTATTATGTTTTTTTGAAATTCAGATAATCATACCAGATAACGATGTACAATCAGTGATAGTTATGTCAAGAGGTATACACGGACATAAAGAAGAGAAACCTAATACAATCAGAAGCTTACTATCACCAGTTCGTAAATTCGTATTGTAATATATTAAATGTGACTTATTCCATTCTCAAATTAAATCATCGTTAGTGCAAGATCATCCAAGCACTCATTTAACAGAAACAAAATTAAGAAGTTTAGTTTATTTCATGAACGACGAAAGAACAGGGCAGAAATATTTTCAGTGTTTGATTTACGAAACTGGTCTAACAAACATAATCAAGCAGATTGATATATATTTCTTTTAATGATTCAAATTATGTAACGTGTGTACTGGTATCCGTGTATCCAGGATCCAGTTAAACTAATGATAAGATCGAAAAAACATTTTATTACCATTTTAATTAACTCTAAATATAGAAAAAGAGAAAAACACTAAGGCAGATGTTTTCATCTTCCGAGGGAACATTCCCAGCTGTCCAACCCCGATTTCTTTCAAACATACATCAATCGATAACCTATATCAAGATAATAAAAAGGCTAAAAGGATTTAGCCCCATGGCTCTTGAAGACCCGGTTTTCTGGAAAACCAGGTTTCCAGAAACTCTAAAAAATAACCTGAACGTAACATAAAAAATACTATCTCGATATTGGCTATCGATTGATGTATGTTTGAAAGAAATCGGGGTTGGACAGCTGGGAATGTTCCCTCATTAGCGAAGATCCGTTACTTCAAGCATCATACAAGGTTTGAATCAGTGATACTGTAAAGTTTTAAATTCAGTCTAATAAAGATATTTTATTGCAATCGTATTTTTTATCTGAAAAATAAAAACGAATTATCTGTCAGATCTAACCCGTCATATTCATATTGAGTGTCGTTTGTGAAATCCGTTGACGATACCATCAGGGATAACTACGGATGCATTGTTATTTACCAGCTGAAATTCTGCATTTTATTCATAAAATATTTTCATACCACAATTTCAATGTTCTAAAATCTTTTTGATGGGCTCAATCTTGTAGAACAAGCACTTCTCTACAAAATGAGGTATAACAGCACTTTCTATCTTGAATCAATACTGAGATAAAAAATGTTTGCCAGACGTTCGACGCCCGGTACTGATACCTATACTGGCTAATATCGATTTTGGACTTTTGTCGAGAAATGATTGTGATAGACAGAAAAAAGATGAAGAGTTGTGCTATACCGTACTTTATAGAAAAATGTTTGCTCTGCAAAACTGGATCGTCAAAAAACTTGACAATTTATAATTTTCAGTCACAATCTGATCCAGAAAACGAGAAAAATATACCGATAGATACCGATGCATGCCTAGGGATGATTCAGGACTCGCTTTCAGTCCTCTACTGGTTTTATTGACGACCAACCTGAACAGTTTCTTTTCTCCTCTGTTTTCGTTATAACCGACGATGATTGTTATGACCTACCCATATGTATTGCTCCGATCGTTCCCCTGACGACAATCATCTCAAAACATATTGAAGGACACATTTACCCCTCTATTAAACTCCAGTTTTAATATGAATTAATTGTATAAATTTCTTCATATCTATCGTTCTGTAATAAACGTTCAATCTTTTTATTTTTATTTCTCTCAGTTAACTTTTACCAGCTTAAACATTGTCTGTTACTCAGTCAACAAGACAAATAAAACAACTTAAATTCGTTCGTCAAGAATTTGAATACTATCTTTTTATCTTTAGGCGTTTATTCAGACCATAGTAGATAACAAATACTATAAAACAAAATCATGCAAACACAACCAAATTAATACTGACGTTAATAATGTATGCTTGTCAAAAATGGCTTTCTCACGCAACGTTTCTACCGATAACAACACCACCGATGATGCTGTTCTGGTACTGCACAGTTTATGTGAATATGTTAATTGTTGTTTTTGACTATTTGGGTGAACAGACAAATTACGTAATTGACAAATTAGTACAAGAATGAACATCTTGAGAGCTTTGCGAACGACATTGACACGACCGGCTCTTAGACAAATATACTTATCATATGTTTTGGTCGTTATGGAGTATGGACTGGTCTTATATAGTAATACAGCTCAAGCTGATGTTAATCAATTGTAAGCCTTCAAAATGGGGCACTTTTGATTATATCCGGAGCGTGTCATGGTACATGCATCGAAAAGTTACAAATTGAGCTTGGTAGCACATCTGTAAGGCAAATAATTCAATATTCTAAATTTAATTTAATTCATAAAATCGTACACAATCAGTCACTTTCTTACCTAAGAAGCCTAATTCCGTTAAAAAGAGACACAAACATCAGACAGACGCGTCACTATATACTAACAGATGTAGTTCCTCCAATATTCAATGCATCTTTTGTAGATAGGCCAGTACTGGTGGTAATCCATAATTGGAACAAACTGCCCTATGAAATGCGATCCATCACAGAGAATGAGAACTTCTCTGTAAAACTGAAACGTTACCTAAATTTTCCATCTCGGCCACTAGTTTGGTATAATATACGAAGTCGGATAAATATTATCCATCTGACCCGCCTACACCTAGGCTTCAGCCTTCTATTAGCAGACCAATATAAACGTCACTTCGTTGCGACACCAAATTGTAACTGACAATAAGCCTGAAACAGCTGAGCATTACTTTTTAAAATGCTTTTACTTTGTCCATGAAAGATCTATCTTGTGGAATAATATAAAAAATATGATTGACGCATTACCACAAACTACTGAACTCATTCTAAAAGGATCCATTAATCTTACCCCAGAACAAAACACCCTTATCGTAAATAATGTTCATAAATACATAGCTGACACTAAAAGATTCACTTAACTATCACCACTCTATTTGCTGTTTGTATCTGATATGTAGAATGGAAAATTTTTTTAGAATTAAAATCCTCGATAAATAAATAAGATTAATATTTATAATATTTAGTTTATATAGTTAAAAGTATATATACCACCTTTTCTGACATAAAGAAATTATACCGGCATTAACACCTCGTCCGGTAGTTGACGGAAACCTTCCGTTCACGTACTTGTCGTCATTTAAAACAGATGCGTTTATTTCGACAGATATATTATTGGTGGCTCAATTCATCTCTATCAGCCTAAGGAAATGGATATACGTCATCGAGATGTTGAATCGTTGAACGGTTGTTCGACAATGTATTATTCCTGTCCATGTGGCGCTTGTTAACATACGCATATCACAGTTATATCTTTTTTGATTCGAACCCCGGAGATTACTAAATTGTCTGGTAGTGCATCATGTGATCGGGAAAGTGAAGAAATTTTTGTTAATCAGATTGTAAATGCTGTTATACACTGTTTAGACAGTAAAGCATATAAAATAATTACAAATATTCTGCAATCACAACAAAACTTAAGTAGAAAAGAGTTACAAAACAGATGTCATGGAAAATTACAAACAGCTGGTAATGATGAATAAGAATTTACTCTGACATATTTAATAGTTTTTGTTACTCCTATTTATACTACGTTGAATTAAATCAGCATAAAAAGCGTGGTTGGATGATAGCCGATGGAAAACACTTCACTTTAGTTTTGTGATAAGATTTGTATCAAATAGCAATAAATAAATAAAAATACTTCTTTGAGATTGGAAAGTCCATTCCTTTTGTCTCTGTTTTGTGTAAAACAAAGTTAAGTGCAGTCGACATTTTTGTCTACAAAACCGAGCAACTTTTAGAGCCATTCCTGCAGGAAGAAAAACATTACAAAGCAACTATTTCTGAAGCTACACATTTGCAACATTTCTGAAACGATTCAAGCGAATTTTTTTGACTCTTCAGGAGATAAATAGGAAAATTCACTTGCATTTGAAAGTTTTAGCCTGACAAGTTCGAAAATTTATTTTTGCAAACGATCGCCCATACCTGTCGCGAAACTGACTTTTGTTCTGGCTTTACACACTCGTTCGTATTACTTTTATTTTCTCTCTCAGATGAGTTCAAACTTCTGTTTTTCTGCTTTTCCTCTTCTATTGTGTTACTCTAATTGAAAGATTATCACTCAACAACCCTCTCAAGATAAGCACTTATGCAGCAGTCGAAAGAATTCAATTCTTTCACTTGTTATCTCTTTTGTCTTTATTTTTCACTTTGAAAGTAAACAAGAAACGTGAGTGCACAAATTATTTCTCTGTTTTTACAGTTAAAATCAAGTACGCATTAGAAAATTTGGTGCTTGCTCCGCGCAGAACCAAAATTTATAAAAATTTGGCGCCCAAAACAAAAATTTTTGGTGAAAACCCAAACCGGGTGCAAATAATTAAAAAAAAAATTAATTTTTT